GGACCTTTTATTTTTTAATGTCATTTAGCAATGTTTTAAAGAAAATATTAACATAGCGCATTTAAAATCTTTGACACTTGGGTGCCTGGCTGAAGCCCAGTTCTTGAACCCTTGATCTGAGGGGGGTCATGAGTGAGCCGTGAGGCATAGAGGATTACTTAAAAATTAAGAGAAAATGGTTTGACACTATTCACTTAGGTGAAACAGATGTCTTTTATTTTACCTTATACAACTAGCATCAAATATGCTTAAGGTTTCTAAAACTGGGAGTTGAAAAGATGGAATTAGTTTTCAGTACTATCTTTTCCCAAATATGTCTGTAGGTTGAATTTAATTACTTGATAGTCTTTTATATGACCATTTTATAGCCATTTGACCACTAATGTATAGTAGTGTTGAATGACACGGGCTAGTTTTATTTTACTAGTAGTTTGTAACTTTAAAATCTTTTTATGGTAGGTTTACTTTTGTTCGTTTGAACAGGGTTTCTGATGGCAGTTAGCACCTGGAAGTTATAGTGTCCGTTCATCCCAATGTATTTCCCTAAAAGTAGCATCCCCCCCAAGCTTTGTGCTTGCATCTTGAAGTCTTTCCCAGCTCATAGTAGGTCTCCTGATAATGACTTGATCTGGTAATGGTGACGTGGTGACTTTTCTCCTATTGGATAAAATAATCAGTAAATGATTTCAGGTTACTGGAATATTGGTTAGCATTAGAGAAGAACCCGTACTGAACCAGGGGACAGCGATCTGCTCTGCTGCTGATGGGACCGACATACAAGTATTTTAAAACCCCAGTCAAATTCCCCTTACCCCGCGTTAAATGTACATACTGCAAGGACATAAAGTTACATGCTGGCTGTCCCAGGCAGCATCATGTTGTGAATTTAGTTTCTTGTTGCCTCTCTTGGTAGCATTAGTCTGCTGGAGTGATTTCGGTTTGGAATCCTAATCTCGGCTGCTTTGGCGAGTGTATTTACATGGTTATAGCTTTCCTGAGCCGGTGTAGACTGTCAGGTGACGTGGGGAAAGACCTAAAGGGACCTGTCTTACCTGCGTGGCATCTTTTGGTGTGGCCTTTAACACAGTGTCTCCTCTACCCATATGGTTTCCAGTAGGTTCTCAGGTGGAGTTTTAGTAATTTATGGTTTAGGCATAACTCTTAGTACTGTGCCCATGACATTTTTCAGGGGCTAGAAAGATGACGTTGACAGCTCTTGCTTTATTCAGGTAATATCATGAATTCACGTACTAGCTAGAGTCCCTGTAGGTTAAGGCTGCAGACCTGTCCGTGAAGAGGTTGGCATGAACTCATCTTAAGTAGTCCACGTTCCGTGCTAGAATCTCAACTCATTTCTGCTAGGTTTTGTCTTCCTCAGTCCAAGTGATATCTATTTCACAGATAGCATGCCATCCCTGTTTCGCTGAATTCTATGGTTTGTGTTTGTTCCAGAATGTTAGTGTATCAACCTCCTGTTTATGCATGCCTGGATTTTATGGCTGGAGCCTTTTCTCTTCAACCTATATATTTCCTCCTGTATTTGTATAATTGCTGAGTATCTCTGTATCAAAATCCACTGCTTGAAAACTTCAAAAGAAATTTGTAATCCTAGGAACCGAGGGAGTTAGGGGAGAAGGAGATTTATGAGGATGTAGTTTGAGAGAGAGTAAGCGAAGAAAGATGAGGCCAGGAAAGTGAGAATCCTGGGCATCACCCAGAGCCAGGAACCTGCAGTGCCTGGGAAGGAATAGGCGAGAGGGACCCTGCAGTGGCTGCTGCTCTGTATTAATAAAGCCCCTCCCCATCTTTGGATGTTAGTGTGAGCAGGCTGGTGAAAACTAACTCATACTTCCTCCAGTGATGGCAGTTTTCACCAGATGATGATTACCTCTCCTCCACCTACCGAGACCAAAGAGCGGCGCCCAGCCACCAGTCAGGCCTGCCAATGCTGGGAAGCGGAAAGTAGGGGAGTTCAACTGAAGTGAGTTCTGGAACAAATACAAGGCCCTTTATCTCTGTCTTCAAATGCTTTCTGTTCCTGATCAAAATTCAGCACTCTTTTGGGGGAAGGGAAGTTAAAATCTTATAGTTAGGGCCTCTTTGGGTGGCATGATCAGTTAGCGTCGGCAAGCAGATCCACGAATCTACTTGGCCATTAAGGGTTCAAATGGCCCGCGTGGGCTCTGGGCTGATAGAGCTCAGAAACCTGGAGACTGACTTTCCGATTCTAGCCATCTCTTTCCTCTCTCTGCCCTCCCCATTCCATGCTCATCTCTCTCTGTCCCAAAAATGAATGGCGTTAAAAAAAAAAAAAAAAAATTAAAAAAAAAAAACACAAAATGTATAGAACAAAACATTAAGACATGTTTTTTAAAATAGCATTTTAGTATTTTAATTTATCATAGTCCCTAAATACCGGATTTAAATTAGATTTATAGATAGTGATAAGTTTACATGGCACTCTAGTTTAAGATTTGCAACTGTATGAGATACCCAGGCACCACACAACAGACATGTTTTAGAGTTCCTGAGCATGGGGCCCTCCCTCTTTTCTGCCTCCACCATTTTAGTGTTTTAATTCTGGACTATTATCCTGCTTTTCAGAAATTATCAGGCACTAAAAAAAAATTCAGTAAGAAGTGTTTTAAAAATAAAACTGTAAACTATCTCTTAAATCTCTTATTGGATAATTCTAAAATTACAAAAGGAAAAAGTTCTTAAAGAAAGCAATAAATTATAAGATGGAGTTGGATTGTGTAGTGGGACTGGAGTTACTGTAAGCCTCATTGGTGCAATGTGTGATGGATTTCAGGTTTTGTGAGTTAAAGTCCCCGTTGGCGTGAGATTATGTAAAAAAATTGAGGAGTTGCTTGGGTGGCTCAGTCAGTTAAGTGTTCAGCTCAGGTGTGATCTAAGTTTGTGATTTGGAGTCCCATTCGATCCTATGCTTTAAGCAGCTCAGAGCCTGGAGCTTCAATTCGGTATACTCCCTGCTCTCTGCCCCTCCCACACTCTGTCTCATCTCATCTCTCTCTCTCAAAATAAATAGTAAACATTGAGAAAATTGAAAAAATTAATTTGAATGTGTGATGCCAGAAAATAAGTCATTGGTATTTGGGTCATCTCAACACCAGGTACTAGCAGGATTTCCTCATTGAGATGTAACTGTGACTCCCAATTTTTCAGAGGAGTGGAATCTTTCAGTGCAATCTCAAGTAAACAAGTGGAAAGGAGTTGTTTTGAAAAGAAAATATATGAAATGAGAATCTGAACTCAAAAATTCTTATGATGAACTTTGTTGAAAACATTTTACAGCTCAAACTCATGAACTGTGAGATCATGACCTGAGCTGAAGTCATATCAGACACTTAACCAACTGAGCCACCCAGGTGCCCCTAAACTATGTTTCTATAGGATGTTTTATACTGAGTGGTGCAAGCAGGTGGGTTTGTATACCAACTTTTTTATCATACCAACTTGCAAAGTAATTAGAAAGTTGAGATTGTAATGGGATTGTATTTTCCAGATTTTTAAAATTATTTATTTTGAGAGGGAACAGGCACATGAGCGGGGGAGGGGCAGAGGGAGAGAGAGGGAAGGAGAATCCCAAGCAGACTCCATGCTGTCAGCACAGAGCCCGACATGGGACTTGAACCCACAAACTGTGAGATCATGACCTGAGCCAAAGTTGGATGCTCAACCCACTGAGCCACCCAGGCGCCCCTGGCGTTTATAGATTTTTTAAGTATAAATGGAATCATAGTAGGTACTTTTTTGGTTTTCCTTTTTTTTTTTTAATGTTTATTTATTTTTAGAGAGAGCAAGTGTGAGCAAGGGAGGCAATGGGGGGGAGAGGGAGGGAGGGAGAGAGAGAGAGAGAGAGAGACAGACAGACAGACAGACAGACACTATCCCAAGCAGGCTCCCTGCTACAGCACAGAGCCCAATGCAGGGCTCGACCTCATGACCCCTGTGAGATCATGTCCTGAGCTGAAAACAAGAGTTGGACGCTTACTGACTGAACCCCCTCGGCGTCTCTTGTTTTGCTTTTTATTTTAAGATTGATCCTTATTCTTTCTATCAGTAGTTCATTATTTTACTGATTAGTATTCCAACGTATAGCTACACCACAATTTGTTTACTCATTCACTTGCCCATGAAAATTTGAGTTTCCATATCTTGGCCTTAATTATAAAGAAAGCTGCTGTGAATGTTTGAAGGCACGTCTTTATACGAGCATACGTTTCAGTAAATACCTAAATTTGGAGTGGCAAATGGTAGTTATGTATTTAATTTTTTAGGAAAGCACCAAACTGGTTTTCAGCATGATTTACTCCACTGGCCGTTCCCGCCAGAAGTGAGAGCACTCCAGTTACTCGACTTTTTCATCAACATGCGGTGGCATCCATCTCTCTTGTTTCCTTTTTATGTTTTTCAAACATAAAATTCATGCTTTTTTAGTATATGTAACATTCAGGGTTGTAAGGTGTATGCTTCCATGGGTCTTAGTATCTTTACAAGATGGACGGCCGTCACCAGCATGTAATTCCAGAACATTCTCGTCACCCCCAAATAAAAACCCTGTACCTGTTAGCCAGTCACAGCTTTCCAGTCCTCGTGAGCCAGATGGAGTCATGATAGAACTTTCTGTCAGCACTCCTGCATCAGTAGAGGCTTCTTCTACATTGGCAGGGTAATAGTACATTGCTTTTCTTTATTGCATCGGTAAAAATAGGAGCTTTTTCCTTAAGTGGGGGAGGGTGCTGGCCGGTGAGGGGATGAACGCCATCAGGATTGTCACCCAACTTCCTTTCCTTACAGGGGAGGACGAAGGACACTGTCGTGTGGAGTCACCGGGTACTCCCTCCAGCTTGATCCAGAGCTGTGGGCGCCCCTCCTCCCCTACTGTCTGCTCAGGACCTTTGGAAATGTTAGTCATATTGAAAGTGTGTGAAAAACCTGAATCTCATTTTTCTTTTCTTTTTTTTTTTTGTACATAGGTGGTCGTGTGATGGTAACAGACGCTGAAAGGTCAATGCTATCTCCAGGTGGAAGGTAAAACATAGTTCATCAGTACGAATAAACTTCCACGCCATAGCGGTTTTTAGTCTTTAGGAATTTGAGGTAGTAGAATATTAAGAAGGACCATATCACATATCTTGATGTTTTATATTCAGCTGATTGATTTGGGGTCCTATGAAAATGCAGTTTCTGACTAAGTACTTCCTGGGGGAAGCTAATGTGATAGATTGATAACTACATGGGGAATAGGAGGGCCTTGTGGTACAGTGGAATTTGCAAGCTACTATTGTACTGTTGTACCCAAAAATTGATTGGGATTAAAGTACTAAATTCAGTTGACAAGTTATATATGCAAAGAAATAAATACGTACATTTGAAGTTAAGTCAGGTTTGCGTTGAGCTTGGTCACGTGAGGACCTGACTGCTGTGTGGCCGCCCGCACTGCGCACTGCTTTATCCTGCCTTCTTTTCTTTTCAGCTGTGGCCCCATCAAAGTGAAAACTGAGCCCACAGAAGATTCTGGTATGTACTTGTGCTTTTAGAGTCCTCTATGAAATTTAAGTAAGGAAACCTTTCCCTTAACTTAGAAGGTTGTATTTTGACGCATTATTTCCGATAATGCTTTGATGAGAAGCAGACAGAACAAATTTATTCCACCGGTGACATGATTTCTTAAGTGTTAGCACATATTATGCTTAACACCTAAAAAGTTGAGTTACTAAGTGTTACCCAGAAGTTTGTTGCTAATTACCCATTTGTAAACAAAATTTATTATTAGGTTTTCCCCCCAGTTATATAGGAATAGTAGTGTAAAATGTCAGCTGGTTCTACAGTGCTTTTTATACAAACCCATCAAATGTCCTCTTACTGTCCCTTCTCCCCTGCACTCTTGTTTCTGCCCTCCAAGGAGACTGCTTTTAACTCTAAGCTGGTTTGAGTGTTGAATTCCTTATTTTATTTTATTTTTTAACATTTATTTATTTTAGAAGGAGGGTGAGCATGAGTGGGGGAGAGGGACTGAAAGAGGGAGGCAGAGGATCCAAAGCAGGCTCTGTGCTGACAAGAGGGAGCTTGATGTGAGGCTTGAGCTCAGGACCTGAGCCTAAGTCATGTGTTTAACCAGCTGAGCCACCCAGGCACCCCTGAATTCCTTATTTTTAAATGTCATGCTTTTAGTGTTATTCTATATAGATAGTTCTGGATAGCTTTATTGAGATACAGTTTACGTGCCATTGAATTCACCTGCCCTAAAGTATAAGATTCAGTGGTGTTGAGTACATCTATAGAGTTTTGCAGTTATTGCCACAGTCTAATTTTGGAACATTTCTGTCATCCTAAATGGAAAGCTGGTGCCCAAATGGAAGCCCTGTTCCCACCATTAGTCTACTTTTTGGGTTTTGTAAGCTTAGCTGGACATTTCCTATGAATGGAATCATACAATATGTGGTGTTCTGCATTTTGATTCTTTTGCTCCGCATCATCTTCGACAATAGTTGTAGGGTTCATACCTGAATGTTATTCCATTGTATGGATATACTACCGTTTCTTTATCCATTTACTGTTTGGCGGGCATTTGAGTTGTTTCCATTTTTTGGCTGTCTCGAGTAACATGGATGGTTAGGAATACTCCTATTTGTCTTCGTGTAGAAAAAATGTCTTCATTTCCCTTGGGTAGATACCCAGGAGTGAATTGCTCGTCCTATGGTAACTCTGTGCCTAACTAGTTAAGCAGCTGGCAAATTCTTTTCCCAAGTGGCTGCATGTTCTTAGCAGCAGTGTTTGGAGGTTTCACTTTCTCCATATCTTGGGCAACACATGGTATTGTCTCTCTTTTTTGAGTATAGCAATTCTAGTGAATATGAAGTGGTGTCTCATTGTGTATGGGTGTGGGGTTTATTTTTTTGTTTGTGCACTTGTAAATAGGTATTTTATTTTTAGAGCAGTTTTATTAGGTTCACAACAATTGAACGAAAGTACAGAGAGTGTTTCCATGTATCTTCTACCCCCACACATACATAGCAATACCTCCCCCCCAAACTATTAATATCCTGCATCAGATTGGTATTAAAATTTTTTTTTTTTCAACGTTTTTTATTTATTATTTTTGGGACAGAGAGAGACAGAGCATGAGCAGGGGAGGGCAGAGAGAGAGGAGATGGTGCACAATCAGGAGCAGGGCTCCAGGCTCATGTTGGGAAAGCCCCGAGCGCTCAGACCGAGAACTCCATGGACCGTGAGTCAAGTGACCTGGCTGATAGAAATCGGACAGCGCCTAACCGACTGGCACACACCCAGGCCTCAGATTGGTATTAAAAATGATGAACCATTATTACCCAGACTCCTTAGTTTACATTGCGTTCGTTTGTCCAGCATTTCTGTAGGTTTTTGATTAACTGATATGATGAAGTTATCCGCGACCTTGTGTACAAATAGTACTACTGCTCTAAAACTCCCCTGTCCTCTGCCTGTTCTTCCGTCTGTCTTCTCTAACACCTGGTCATCCATCACTGATCTTTTTACTGTCTTCATCATTTTCCTTTTTCCAGAATGTCCTAGAATTGTGGTTTTTTTTTTAATTTTTTTTTTTTCAACGTTTATTTATTTTTGGGACAGAGAGAGACAGAGCATGAACAGGGGAGGGGCAGAGAGAGAGGGGAGACACAAGATCGGAAGCAGGCTCCAGCTCTAGGAAACCATCGCGCCAGGCCGGCGCGGGACTCGAACTCCACGGATCGCGGGGTCGTGAGCCTGCTGCCTGAAGTCGGGCGGCGCAACGGCTCGCCGCCAGGCGGAACTTAATTGTGTTTACCATTGCATTTTCACCAGGCCCTGGGTAGGCTCAATCGATGACGTCGACATCATGATCTCGTGATCTGTGGTCGAGAGCCAGCGAATGAGCTCTGTGCTGACAGCTCGGAGCCTGGAGCCTCCTTCGGATTCTGTCTCCCTCTCTGTCTGTCCCCCCTCTCCCCCAACTCATGCTCTGTCTCTCTCAAAAATAAATAAACAGTAAAAAACAAACAGAACACATTTAATTGTGTTTTCCTAATGATGTTGGACATCATTTGATGTGCTCATTAGCTATTCATATATTACCTTTGATGAAATGTCTTTTTAATTCTTTTGCTTGTTCTTTAATTATGCTTTTTTTTTCTTTTTGGTGATCTATTTATTTATTATTGAAGTAGAGTTGACATACAGTGTTACTAGTTTCGGGTGTACAACATAGTGATTCGATACTTCTATACATTATTCAATACAGTCCCCATCTGTCACCATACAACCTTATTATAATATTGACTATATTCCCTATACTGTACTTTTTATCACAATGACATGTATATTTTATAACTGTTTGTACCTTTTAATCTTTTTCACCTATTTTGCCCATCTCCTGATTCAACTCTGCTATGGCAGTCAACAGTTTGTTCTCTGTATTTGAGTCTCGTTGGTTTTTTGTTATTCATTTGTTTTGTTTTTTAATTTTTTTTTTCAACGTTTTTTTTTCTATTTATTTTTGGGACAGAGAGAGACAGAGCATGAACGGGGGAGGGGCAGAGAGAGAGGGAGACACAGAATCGGAAACAGGCTCCAGGCTCCGAGCCATCAGCCCAGAGCCTGACGCGGGGCTCGAACTCATGGACCGCGAGATCGTGACCTGGCTGAAGTCGGACGCCCAACCGACTGCGCCACCCAGGCGCCCCTCATTTGTTTTGTTTTTTAGTTCCACATAGAAGTGAAATCATATGGTATTTGTCTTTCTGACTTATTTCATGTAACATAATACCCTCTACGTCCATCCATGTTGTCACAAATGGCAAGATTTCGTTCCTTTTTCTTTCTCCTTTTTTTTTCCTCTTTCTTTCTTAATTCTTACTTATTAGAGTTCTTTTATATATTCTGGATTTTTGAAACTAGAAATAATGTTTTGCAAATATATTTTTCTACTCTGGCTTGTCTTTTCATTTGCTTAACGGTATCCTTTGAAGCCTTAAAACTGCTTTGATTTTGATGCAGTTCAGTTTTTCAGATTTTTCTTTAATCACTTTTACTTTGGGTGTTACCCCTAGGAAACCTAAAATCTTTGTCTAACTTGAGGTCATGAAGAATTTCTCACTTACTGCATTTTTCTGGAATTGTGTAGTTTTAACTCTTATGTTTAAGCCTAAGATCTGTTTTGAGTTCATTGTGCTTGTTGGAAGGGAAGGGAAGGGTCTGATTTCATCCTTTTGTGTGCGGACTACCCTGCCGCCCCAGCATCTGTTGAAAAGCTCTCGTTTCTTCGTTGGATCGCCTCAGCACCTGTCAGACAGCATGTGACCAGGTGTACTTCTGTGCCTTCAGTTCTGTTTCCTTGAACTCAGATGCCCCCCCCCAGTCTTAGACCAATAGTACACTCTATCTCCTGTCGTTTTAAGGTTTGGTTTTATTACCTGTTAACATAGGAAAATGAGGATATAATTTTTTTACTATCTTCAATACTTTTTTTTTTCCTGTTCCCACTTTTACCATATATTTAAGTTGATTTTTATTGTTCGAGTACTTTCAGAACTGAACATGGTCTTGGATATTTCAATTAACGCTTGCTTCTTCCCATGTCCCATTTCTAGGGCGCAAGTGGTTCTGCCTGTTTATAAGACATACAGCTCTTCCTGACTTGATGTCAATTTTATTGTTAGGATTTTTTGTTACTCTGGTTCTATGAATGACAGCAACCTTGTGTTTAAAAATAATACATAACTTTATTATTTTTTATTTATTTGTTTTGGGGGGAACACAAGCGGGGGAGGGGCAGACAGAGGGACAGAGGATCTGTGCAGGCCCTGTGCTGACAGGCTGAGAGCAGTGAGCCCAGCGTGGGGCTCAGACTCATGAGCTGTGAGATCATGACCTGAGCTGAGGTTGGATGCTCAACTGACTGAGCTGCCCGGGTGCTCCCCTCATTTTTTAAAATATCTTCTAATAAATAATACATAGCTTTAAAAAGATCATTGTAGGGGCGCCTGGGTGGCTCAGTCGGTTAAGCGTCCGACTGGGGCTCAGGTCATGATTTCGGGGTCCATGAGTTCGAGCCCCGCGTCGGGCTCTGTGCTGACAGCTCAGAGCCTGGAGCCTGTTTCAGATTCTGTGTCTCCCTCTCTCTCTGACCCTCCCCAGTTCATGCTCTGTCTCTCTCTGTCTCAAAAATAAATAAACGTTAAAAAAAATTTTTTTTAATAAATAAATAAATAAAAGATCATTGTATTATTACTAAGAATATATTTAATAATTAGCTTTGGTGATTGGCAACAAAAAATGAACATTTACTGCTTTTTCGTATTGAAGACATACGTAAACTATAACCTGAGCGTCAGCTATAGCTGGGGTCCAAAAATTTCAATTGTGTAAAATGCAGTTTTGTATCATTGCTAAAAAGTGACATCTTCAGACTGATCTCCTGCAGGGGATATAAGCCGTTTGTCAGTTTTGTCACATCCACATTCACGCTTGCAGAACCTGTCATTGTGGGGCTTTTACCGTCC